CAGTAAAGTGGCAGGATATAAAATCAATGCACAGAAGTCAGTGGCATTCCTATACACCAACAACAAGACGGAAGAAAGAGAAATTAAGGAGTCGACCCCTGTATAAGTTTTTAAGCTTCTGGCAGGTGGGTGTGAAGATCTACCTATCTTGCGGGCGCCCAAGATAAGCCTTGTAAGTAGGCTTCCTTATTTATTAAACTACCACCTACCCATCTGGAGGGGTCTGCCTCTTTCTTTGGTCTCTCCCTGTCCTCTGCATGTGGAGGTCACTTGCAGATGTCACCTGGGGAACCTCCCGAGGTTGTGAACCCACAATTTTCTGTTCCTGATGATGCACTAGAATTTTAGCATTTCTGAATGTTAAACATGTTCTGCAATTTTGTGTCCTCATATAAAACTTCATGATAAATTTATGAATTTCTGCAATTGTATGTGAATATAGCTAAGGAATAGTTTTGAAAAAAAGATTGAAAAATGTCCTTTTTATCTTGATCTATTGTGCACTAAATTGTGATGTTTTGTTTGAATTTGTTTCAGAATCGAAGCAAACGCTTGGAAAAGGTCCATGTGGTTATTGGACATAAATCGTGTGACTTGGATTCTCTCATTTCTGCCTTCACATATGCTTACTTTCTAGACAAGGTGAGGGGAAAGAAGATTATATTTTTTGTATTTGAATTATGATGGAACTCATAAGAACAAACATTTTCTGGAAAAGTGAGGAAACCATTCACTTAAATTTTCATGTTCTGGTTTATTGTTGCAGAGAATAATGTGTTATAATCCATTAAACAACAAATATTTATTGGTCACCTATATGTTAGGCATTGTCTAGTTATTTCTTTCTTCATGAAACATTATTTCATTAAGATCAATGCTTTCAAATAATTTTTTTAAAAAAAATATATGATAGTTGTTTACTTTTATGGGAATTCAGAGAACTAACAAAAGTAGGTCAGAATTTCTTGTTTTCCTGTATCATCCTTGTTGGTTAGTTTTACTGTTGGGAATAGAAAAATGCGTGCATGAACATTACATGAAATACAGAGCATATTGGCTGGAGTTTTCAGTAACAGAGGTATTATGTGTCACATCTATATTCTGTTCTTGCCTTTTAACCCTGACAAGGGTCATTCTCAGTTTGTGATAATCTCCCTTGAGTGAGAATCTTTGTACTCTGTGAAATCTATAACATCCCTACAGAGGTGGAAAAGACCTTTTAATAAATTGTTTTAAAATTTCAATTTCATAAAATTCATCAGCCCATGATAATGCGTCACCTCCAAGTCTAAAAAAGCACAGTATGAGTGTCTTAGTGCTATTTCCAATTTCACAGAATTTTTAATTTTCCGGAGTCTGATTTGTTTTATTCCAATTTTGTTTGGATCCTTGCCTCTGAGAGTATACATAGCTGATCTAGAGTAATTTAAATTCACATGAAACCCAGTCTTCCAGAATGAGCTGTGGGTGGCAAGAATGGCTTAGGACAACAGCTGACAAAAATGCCAGGTAAAATATTCTGATCTCTACATACGGACTTTATATAAAATTTGTGAACCTTACAAGGGAGATTAATTGGCATAAGGAGATAAATGTGCCTATGTCAAGATAATGCATATTGAACGCTTAGTCCTATTAACTGGACTCTTTGACTCCTAGAAAAAAAAAATGTTGCTTGTCCCGAGAACATAGAGTTAACTGAACCAGACTGGTTTTTAGACCAACAGTGGCATGGACTCCTAAGGAAATTATAAATACCACCACCACCACCTACTGCAGTGTCTTGAATGAAAATAACATGAGACCCAAGGAATGGGAAAGTAGTTGTGATGGATAAAATGGCTCTTCACTCAGCATGGGGACAAATATGGAATTACTGAAGGGTCACATACTAGAATTTGTCCTATTTCTGGGCATTCCTTTTAGTTTACCAGGCCCTGCCCCTGACCAAAGGTCTACATCTCCATTTGAATTTTTTTTCCCCGAGAACGTGGTGACTTTCTCTGAGAGTATTAACACCTAGAATAAATGTAGAGCTTTGCAACTTCCCATGTATGACTCCATTTAAATACTTTTCACTCTGGTAGGTAAGCCCCATTCTACAGATGGGTTAAACTGGGTTTCCAAAAGGAAAACGGCTTTCTCCAAGTCACACAGCTGAGGCTGGGGCTAGAACCTAGTTCTGATTCTAACCTCAAAATAGGTCTTGCCCCACGATATTCTCAGGCCACATGCACTTGACTCAAGTTTCAGAATCAGGAGTTTGATCTCAATTAATTAAGAAAAATAACTTGCCATACATAAACTTCTAATGATTATTGCACAATTGTATTCAGGATTAGCCTGACGAATGGCAGGCATCCCATGTAGATGGGACATATATGCCCTTCTGTGTCACCACAGTCCTCATCTGCCCTACTGCGATCATTCTAATTTTCTGCCAATTTCATAAGGACATATGAATTTGTTTCCCCTGAAAAGGAGAATATGTGTGTGTGTGTGTTTAAATTGTGGAGGGTTTGAAATAAGATAAAAAAGAGTAACAAGAGGTTAAAAAATATTAGGGGCTATTTACCTGTAGCTAATGCTCTGCTAATTGGGTTCAGGAAGAGCTGATTCTGCATGGCATGTGGGTGAGTGAAGCCAAAAGACTTTTGTTCCATTTACCATTGCCCTCAGGCTTGAAGCAAATGGAGTTGTGTTCTTTCCTCCTGCTGCTAATGGTGAATCAGTCAACTCTCTTCTTCGCAGGTCAGTCCACCTGGGGTTCTCTGTTTGCCAGTGCTGAACATACCAAGAACTGAATTCAGTTACTTCACCGAGACAAGGTTTATTTTAGAAGAGCTAAATATCTCTGAATCATTCCACATATTCCGAGATGAAATTAATCTGCATCAGCTCAATGATGAAGGGAAGTTATCTATAACACTTGTTGGCAGCAGCATGCTGGCCAGGTAAGGCTCTGGAGGGAGGTTTGATCCTTGAACTAAGGCTCTTATGGGGACAGTATCACCTCGTTCAGGATTTTTGTGACTTTGGGAATTGCATTAAAGGCAGACGACATCAGAGGAAAAAGAATATTTTTTCTTCTCTTATGGCAAAATGTGGGCTATCCCAGTCCTCCCTTTTGACTTTTGCATTTCAAGTATGACATCTTTGAGTGGAAAGTTTTTGTAGCAGTGACCAAGATTATAATTTTGAACCATTTCAAACAGTGTATTATAGCAACACAACAGTCCTATGTATTGATGCTGTAAATATGTAATGAAAACTGAAATTAAACACTAAATAAAATGGAAAGGTTCTTAAGAAAAATATCTCAGTGGTGAAATGAAAAATCATATGGATCACCTATGGAAGTCATCTGATTATTGGCTCATTCATTCATAGCATTTGATACTATAAGAGCAGGATGGATTTTTAAAGTTCATGGAGCTCGAATTCGTTATTTTATGGACAAGAAATCTGAACCCCACTGTTGCAAATGACTTACCCAAGGTACCTCATGCAGTTACTAGAGTAGTTTGGATTAAACTTGAGTCTTCTGCCTCCTTCAGTAAGTACTCAGGAGTTGCTAACTGGTGCAAGAATCTAAATGTACATAAAGAGAAATGAGACAAATTGTCTGCCTTCAGGGACTTACCCAACCCAACACAAATGCTCTTTTGATAAGCTCCGTGGTGCTACCGAATGAAGGGTCCACCAGTGAAACACCTCTAGTTTGAGACAATAGGTTTTTTGCACACTTTGCCAATTTGCTAATGGTTTAGGACATTAACCAGTGGGTACTGATATAAGTACACATGAAAGAAAAACTTGTACAGTTATCTAATTTTTTATTTAACCCTTTTTAGGAAACATATTTAAGTATAAATACATGGTAATTCCAATCATGCAGTTCATTCATTATAAAGAGTTTTGAAAACAGTCTGCTTGTCTGGGGCTGTTTTTATCCCCATGCCATTTGAAACATAAATTCTTTTGAATATTTATTAATCAGTTGTTGTTCAACTGACTGAGAGTTACTGGGAGTTTATTTGGCTGACTTCAATTATCAGTGCTCAGGATGATCACCTGCTTGACTAAATTTATGTGTTAACTTTTTCAAACCAACTAATGCAAGTAATGCAAGAAGCCAGAGGAGTGAGCTACGAAACGTGTGTGTCAGTCAGGATCTTTGGAAGAGTTTTGTTCCCAAATAAACTGAAGAACTTAAGCTGGTGTTGGTACTGATGCTGTGAACTCCAGGTTTAGGACTGTTTGTGAAACAGAATGCTTTCCAAAAAGAAATTGAGATCTTTATTTCCTTCTTTGCCACTCATTTGTTTCTGGCAGACGGAAAGACCAACGTCAGTCTTATTCACATCTTTCTTTCTGCCTTTGATAAAGCCAACTTATCTCACGTGTAAAGGATGACGGTGGAAGTAAATCAGCCCGTAGTAGCTTTTCCCCAGCCCTTGAGAGTGCAGGTGCAAGTTCTGGAACCAGATTATCAGAGTTTAAACACAAGCTAGTCTGCTTGCAAGCTTTGTGACTTTGGACAAATTTCTTAACCTCTTTGTGCCTCCGTTTCCCCATTTTTAAAATGGGAGTTTTACTAGAACCCATTCCGTAGGGTCATTTTATAGTCTAAGACGTGGTGATATTCTTTCTGGCCTGATAATAGTGTCTGGCCTGTAGCGGAACCTTAGTAAATATTAGCTATTATTAATTATTGTTATTATTATTATTATTATTATTTTCCATAGCAAAACAAGAGCTAGAAGTGCTGAGGTGTGAGGGGCCACCTACTAAGACCCTTGGGGAGTGAATTCAGTGAAATGGAGTATGAAGGCACATAGAATAAGGGTCCTCTCTTCTGCATCATGTGAGCTTACTCAGATTTTTAGCTGTTGAGAGGAAGTCATTTGTACGGGAGTGGAGATTAAATACTTCCAGAAAGTAAGAAAATAAGCCGTATCTCTTTGTCTTCCTCTCTTCCATTTGCTTTACAGCGAGGACAAGACCTTAGAATCAGCAGTTGTCAAAGTCATTAATCCGGTGGAGCAGAGCGATGGCGGCCTTGAGTTTCGAGAGTCTTCCTCTTCCCTTGTGGTGAAAGAGATTCTCCAGGAGGCTCCTGAGCTCATCACCGAGCAGCTGGCTCATCTCCTCAGAGGTGAGAGATGGCTCTTTCTATTAAATACTGGAAGGCTTAATGGAGTGTTTCTCGACTTGCTCATGCAGAATGACTGTGATCCATTCTTGGGTTAACAACCCCTTTAAAGACCACGGGAAGCTTCATCAGAGAAGCAGGGAGTAAAGAGTTTGTTAAAGAGTAGCATTATACTACATATTAAAAATGTGCATTTAAAAATAGGCATGAAGGATCTTTGCTGTTTCACTAGACAGGAGTTTTAAATGGAACTACTGCACCTCTGTTGGGGAGCCCACCACCTCTGTGGGCTCCTCTGGCCAGCCAGCAGCTTCCAGAGGTGATTCTTGCCCCACAGCAGTGCGACTCAGGGCCAGAATCCACGTCCTCATATTGAAATAGCACCTAATACTTATATATGCTTGGTTTGTGGACTACTGCTTGGATGGCAAAATAAACACCTTTCATGTTGATAATTTGATGTTGGGTTTTTTACCTTGTCACTTGTTAGCCCCTATCTTCTAACATTTCCCATCCTAACTCAGCCCTGTGTTCCCAGCACATCGTCATCGATTACCCTTTGAATATTTTTCATCTCTGTCCGTGGAGCCCACACCACTTCCAAAAGGGCCTTCTAACCTGGCTTCCTAACCTTGTTAGTTGACTTTGGTGGCACAAAATTATCACAAAAATTCAGGATTGTCTCACATAGGACAGCTTTGGGTGTTGTATAAAGCTTTTTTTTTTTTCTTTCTTTCAGTAATCCATCTTGAACATGATAGACATAGATTTTTCTCAGAAGTATTTAGCCCAAGAAAATGAAAAACAGTGATTAACAGAAAATTTTTTTAAAAAGGAAGGAGATGACCAAGAGAATGTTGACACCAGTCTTTTGAGGACGCTTTCCTTCACTTCCTGTCTCTTCCACAATGTGGAGAGGAAAATGTCCAAAAGTTATGTAGTTCCTGCGAATATTTTAGAGCTAATGGCCACAGTAAACCTGTTTTAAATTTTTTCTGGCAATGGACATCTATAAAAACGCTCTGTGGGAAACTGTGCCCTCAACCAAACCAAGTAAATACGATCATTTATCTCTGTGACAGAGCAGAAGGAAAATAAAGGTAATTGGGGATCCCAGCCAAGAGGGAAGTTGTTTGACAACGCAAATGTGCAGCTCAGGCAAACGCTAGAGTATTTTGTTTAAGTTTCTTGCAAACTAAGAAGCTTGGTTTATTGTTCAAAAAATACATGTTTTATTTAACAGGGAAAAAAGGTAGTCCACCAATCACTCATCATCCTGTTTTTCTGTAAATAGTTAAATCAGATCAAACTGTGATACATCAGTACAAAGGTATGATTTTGCTGTCAGTGATGATAATGATGATGATATTCAGATTTGGGGAGTTAGAAGAGAGGCAGACCCTTTTATGAGTGATGTTGGTTTTCGTTAGCAGAGCTACCAAGAATCCGAGGTACGGTAAAGGGCCTTGGTTTTTCTTATCATTGGAGGTTTTTCTTAAGGTTGGGCTTGAAGGGCATCCAGTAGGAACCTGGCAGAGTAGGAACGTCGCTTCATTGCTGCCTGGACATTGGGATGTAAGAAGATGAAGTGCCTCTATGTGCAAAGACTGCAGATATGGATACTGTCATGAGAGAGAGAGTCCAGAGTCACTAAGCCTGGAAGGTGGCCTACTATAGTGGAAAGAAGGCTCTGGAGACCCTTAGCCAAAGTATGCATGTGTGCATGCCTATGTGTGCATACATTTGTGGAGAGGCCACGGAACATCACTGAGCAGTTGTGCCAAGAAGGAACTAAAGGATGGGGATCCAAGAAGTTTGACTTTATTTTTAAGGTTTTATTTATTTATTTGTCAGAGAGAGAGCACAAGCTGTGGGGCGGGGGTGGTGGTGGTGGCAGGCAGAGGGAGAAGGAGGCTCCCCATTGACCAAGGAGCCTGAGGCAGGACTCAATCCCAGGACCCTGGGATCATGACCTGAGCTGAAGGCAGACGCCTAACTGACCGAACCACCCAGGCGTCCTAAGAAGTTTGACTTTAAAGAGGAAACTCATTGTTCAGAGTAAGAAGGGCAGCAGGCCAGTTTTTAAAAGTTCCTAAATTGGGGTGCCTGCATGGCTCAGTTGGTTAAGCATCTGCCTTCAACTCAGGTCATGATCCCAGGCTCTGGGATCGAGCCCCGTGTCAGGTTCCTTGCTCAGTGGGGAGTCTGCTTCTCCCTCCTCTGCCTCTGCCCCCTCCCCCCTTGCTCTCTCTCAGATAAATAAATAAAATCTGAAAAAAAAATGAATAGAAGCTCCTAAATCTTCAGTAGGTATCAGAAAGGAATCAAGTTGAATTTTGCAATATTCACTAAACTCAATGTTAGATTTCATGGTTTTCCTATCATGTATTAACACCAAACCAAATGGGAGGTTTTTGATGTGCCTGTAAATAATTTTAGCATTCTTTATTTTCATAACATGGATAGTTCTCTGTCCAAAGAGTTTTCTCTATAAACAGCTACGTTATTTTGTATTTTGGGGTGCTCAACATAATCATTAATTTGACACACGTTTCTAGAATGTATTTATGCATTTTTCTAGGCCTTGAAGGAAAGTAAAATTTCTATGCACATCTTTGCTGCAAAGAATTTTGAAAAATGTCTGTTTCCAGATGTCGTGAGACTAAATATTGATGACTGAGACTTGGAAGAGTCTTTGAAAGTATCCTAATTAGACCTTTTTGGGGGATCTATTATTATGAACTTCATACCAAAAAACCTGAATTTACTGTGAACACAGAACTTAATCAATTTGATTGTTCCTTGCCTTTTATTCCCGAGGTCATATCCTAGGACACATCATGCTGAGGCACACTGGTGTGCTGTAAATGGATTTCAAGTGGGCCATTGATCCCCTCAGTCCCTGGAGAGGACCCTCAGTATGCCTCTTAGCCCACTATGCTGGGGGAAAAATGCTAATTTTCAGAGTGTTCCTTAATGTGCGAGAGTTTGGGTCTACTCTTCCTTAGTCTTGATTAACTCCTTCTCCTCTGCTCAACTTCTAAGTATTACGGTGCTGTCGAACTTCATCCTGGGACATTTTTTTTCTATACACTATTTTTTTGAGCTTTTTATTTAAATTCCAGTTAGTTAACATGCAGTGTAGTATTAGTTTCAGGTGTACAATAGAGTGATTCAACATTTCCATACATCACCCAGTGCTCCTCACGACAGGTGCCCTGCTTAATCCCCATACCTACTTCCCCCTCCCCTGACCCCTTCCTTCTGGTAACCATCAGTTTGTTCTCTGTGGTTAAGAGTCTGTTTCTTGTCTATACCCTATCCTTAAGTGGCCTCATTTCATTCTGAGATTTTAGACCTCTCTTTAATATTCCAGGTTCATCTGCAATGTCCATGTGACATCTTCACATGCATGTCTAACTAACACCACCACCTTACCGTGGCTGGAATGGACCCCTGTAGTTCCCTGTACCTCCAAACCTGCTTTATCTCAGCTTCCCCAGGTCAGTAGAAGTCACTGCCAATCACTACCCTTTACTCCAGCCACAATCTAAGATCGTTGATTCTTTCAATTTTCTTTCCTCCCACATTGATCCATCAGCCCGTCCTGCTGACTCTCCATCTACAACGTAACTTGAATCCATCCTCTCTCCTGTGATCACTAGCAGTGATGCTGTTGAAGCTGCCATTCTGTCTCTCTTCCACTAAAGCAATGGCCGCCTTGAGTGTTGCCCTCTTCCCTCCATAAAATCTATCGTTTATGAAGTAGTCAGAATGGCCTTTTAAAAGTGTAAACCAGTTGTGTTAATCTCCTGCTTAAAATCCATCACACTCAAAATCCAAGCACCCTCCCCAAGCCCCCAATCTACAATATGACTTCTCCCCTGCCTGCCCTGACATCATGTCATGGATTCCACCCTATCCTTTCCCTTTGAGTGTTCCAGGGTCAGGGGCCCTTCAGTCTTTCAGATAGGCCAAACTCTTTCCGCTCTTGAGGATCTACATAAGCTGTCCCTTCCTTCTGGAATTTGTATTTCTATCTACTTATCTTTCTGCCTGTCACGACTTTCTTCCTCCCTTTTGCTCCTTCACTCCAGAATGCAAGCTTCAGGAGAAAGCAGACCTTCTCTGTTTTGTTCACTGCTCCATTGATGTGTCTCTGGCGCCTGGAACAGTGCCTGCCACATAGGAGACCCTCAATAAATACAGTCATAAAATGGATCATGCATGATTGTGTATATACTTTCTATTTTTATGACTGTATTGATTTAGTTAGTTCTGTGAAATGAGATTATCCATTTCATTCCTGCCCATCCCTCCAACATTCTTAATGTCCAGAATTCGGACATTGTGCTTTGCAATAATAAACCCTCTTCTTATTTTTTTTTTAGCTTTTTTTTTTATTTTTAAAGATTTTATTTATTTGACAGAGAGAGAGACAGTGAGAGAGGGAACACAAGCAGGGGGAGTGGGAGAGGGAGAAGCAGGCTTCCCCCTGAGGAGGGAGCCCGATGCGGGGCTTGATCCCAGGACCCTGGGATCATGACCTGAGCTGAAGGCAGACGCTTAACGACTGAGCCACCCAGGCACCCCTATTTTTTTAGCTTTTAGAAATCCTAGTAGAATTTTTTCTGTTATTTTGCAAGTCTTTGTTTTTATTTTCATCTTTTTGTTGTGTGTATATATACACACATATATAATTGTATATATAATTTTTAAAAAGATTTTATTTATTTGAGAGAGAGAGAGAAAGAGCTCAAGTGAGAGAGAGCATGAGGAGGGAGAGGTGGAGGGGGAGAGGGAGAAGCAGACTCCCTGCTGAGCAGGGAGTCCAACGTGGGGCTTGATCCTAGGACTCCAGGATCATGACCTGGGCCGAAGGCAGATATTTAACCGACTGAACCACCCAGGTGCCCCTATATATATAATTTTAAGCCTTTCATGGAGTATAATACACATACAGAAAAGAAGACAAAACATAAATACAAAGCTCAGTGAATTAT